TTTTAGCAACCGACTTTGAAAATAATTTATTCACGGTTGGTAATGATGAATGTAATTTAACGTTAATATTATTAGTTCTCGTTTAAACTTATATATTAACTTATTTTAAATATATTATTATAATGTCGATAGGTAAACTTATTTTAAATATATTATTATAATGTCGATAGGTAAATCGCGGATTAAAACCGAACCACCCCGCAATTTATGGTTTGGTTTGGTTCGAAAAAAAAATGGTTTGGTTTGGTTTGAACAAATTCCAAACCGCATGAATTTGTTTGAGTTGAAAATATGGCACAAACCGTCCAAATCGAACCGTGTTCACCCCTATCATCAATCATATTTAATGAACGAGGATCTCACTCTTGAGAGACATCCTTTTTGCCCATATCAACAACATACTGTAGACTGAGTTTTGTTTTGAAATTTCTTTATTCAATGAGGAAAAATAAAAGTGATACTAACCTTGAGGGGTTGCTCAATTGGTCAGGGCCTGAGTTTACTCCCCAATGATCACCAGTTCGAATCTCCTCAGGGCCATTAAGGTGAGTACCCCGATCGTAAACTTCAGGGCCCCGTGAGATTAGTCGAGGTGCGCGTAAGCTGGCTCAAATATCCACGGTTATCAAAAAAATAAAAAATAAAAGTGATACTAACAATACTCTGATGAATGAAGTGATATTATTTCATTTAATACTGAAATGGATTTCTGCCAAGATTGTATATTCGCCTTTTCGTGTGTTTTCCAATTTATTTCATTTTAATCCCATTTGAATGATTTCTATTTTTGCATTGAAAAAACACGTCCATCATCTATTATATGCTAAAGAATAGAAATTCACACTACTTAATATGGCTGTGGCATGCTTCCAAAGACTGAAAAGATTTGCTAGTAAAAGAAGAATTATGTACTTTATGTTACTGCGATTTCTTGGTAAACGGTTGGTTCCATTAATGTCCTCGTAATTTAAATATGATTATAGTTGATCTAGAATCCCGGTATGGCCTAGTTCTTCTGATCCTCCTATCTGGACATGCTATTTTATGCTTTCATGGGTGTGAGCTGAAATTTGGACCGGCTCTTGAAATTTCAAATTTGACAACTCAATATTATAGATGCTTTTATCAGAGGAACCGAGAGAGGTAGCTGTTGGACAAATTTTTGGTTCAATATATTTTTCCTCATTATTTGTTACAGTTTAAAGATCATTGTTTTGTGATTCTAATAAACCATAGCAGGTTGATTCAGAAGCATTCATTTGAATTCTGTAAAATTGTTGTGTGTATATTTAGAACAGCAAGACTGGAAAACTGAAATGATGTTGCTAGAGGGCCTGTGTTTTTTTAACCAATTTGGACCAAAAAATAAGAGAGATGCATAAATATAGAGTATGTTTGGCAAAGTTGATCATAAAACTATTGGCGGGCCAGATATAATGGATTTAGCCACTGTTATTGTATACGGTGCTTAAGAAGTCTTCATGCACTATAACTACAACAATTAATACGAAGATATCGGCTTCAATGTATTAATGTTCCCGAAAGACTATTAAGTATTAACCATCTTAGAAAATGAATTTGACACTGCAAATGAAAGAAAAGATTGTAGCCGCTATATGACATCTGTTTCCTATTTAGTTCTTATTTTACTTCTTTTTTGGTTTTCTTATTGCATGTTTGGTTTTTCTATTTGTTGTTTTGTATATAGATATGGGATTAGAAACGAAATTTCTGAGGATGATAGTTATAAGAGGAATTTTCTTAAGAACAAAATAGTGAGAGAGATGAAAACTGATCCTCTAGAATTTCTTATACAAGGCATTCTTTTTTCTTTTTT